AATTTTGGCGGGAGAATCAGTTTTGGCTATGCATTACTGCAATGCAATGCGCATGTGCACACACATCTATATCATCTATCTATATCTCTATTTTATCTATCTCTATACCCTGTTTTCCCCAAAATAAGACATCCCCTGGTAATAAGCCCAATTGGGCTTTTGAGCGCATGGCAATAAGGCCAAGCACTTATTTCAGGGTTTAAAAATAAAATAAAATAAGACAGGGTCTTATTTTCAGGGAAACACGGTATCTATCTATCTATCTATCTATCTATCTATCTATCTATCTATCTATCTATCTCTATCTCTTATCTATCTCTCTATTTCTAATCTATCTATCATCTATCCATCCATCCATCCATCCATCCATCCATCCATCCATCCATCTATCTCTATCTTATCTCCCCTCTCTCTCTCTCTCTCTCTCTCTCTGTCTCTCTCCCTCCCTCTCCCTCTCTTTCTCTCTCTCAGCAAATGGAGCCAAGTATTGTTTTCTACCTAGAGGTTTGTGGCAGGTCTGACAGAACAAATTCAGTGTTGGAACAGAAGTGAAGGAAAAAGTGAAAATTCCTTGCAAGGAAATGTGATGAAATGGTGCCAAATTTGCTTGAAAAGACGGGCAGAGAAGAGGGAAGGCAGGAAGGATAATGAAATGAGGGAAGGAAGGAAGGATAATGAGAATGAAAAGGAAAGGAAAGGAAAATGTATGGGGGTGGGGAGGAAGGATAATGAGAAGGAAAGGAAGGAAGGAAATGTTGGATGGTCAGCAGAACCCACAAACAGCTTCTCCCTGTGCCAAATGTCTCTTAACTGTGGTTTACCCTAAGCATGGCACCATGCCCCATTGCAAACAAGCCTTCTGTTTCATCGACTCCACACAATTCTTGTGAAGGTAAGATGCCAGCATCCTGTTGCTCCAATCTCTCTCTCTCTCTCTCTCTCCCCCCTCTCCCTCCCTCCCTCTTTCTCTCTCTTTCTCTCTCTCTCTCCCTCCCTCCCTGCTTCCCTCTCTCTCTCTCTCACAAAAAAAGTTAGAATAATGCACACTAACTCAAAATCAAAACCAGCTGCTCAGCTTGCAAGCCGGAAAGCAATAGTCCACGGTGGTCATTCTGGGAGTTGAAGCCCCCCATCTTTTCAAGCTGCCAAAGTTGAGCAAAGCCATGGCCTGCGCAATTTCCTGGGGAATCTTCCTTAACTACCCTGATTCCCCCGAAAATAAGACCCAACCGGAAAATAAACCCTAGCATGATTTTTCAGGATGCTCCTAATATAAGCCCTACCCAAAAAATAAGCCCCAGTTAAGATCATCAACCAGACGGAAGCGTTTAGTACTGTATTTCCCCCAAAATAAGACCTAACTGGAAAATAGGCCATAATGTGTTTTTTGTAGCAAAAATTAATATAAGACCCGGTCTTATTTTGGGGGAAATCATGGTAGTAAAGAAACGGTTTTGAGAACGGCTGTATACAAATCCTGCTGAGACGGAGGAATTCTGGATTGAATTCTCTGGGCGATGCTGAAGAAGCTTGTAGGGTGAGGTCATTATTTATGTCCCTCTATCATCCGATGAGGCGAAATAGCTTTTCTTCTGACAAGCAGTTGGAGATAAACACTAAAAGGAATGCATTACCGATAGCAAAGTATTCTGCAGCTCAATAGCATGCCTTTAATGCATGCAGAATTTGGAATGGGATAGGATAGGATAGGAGTAGAATAGGAGTAAGATAGGGTAGGATGGAATGGGATGGAATGGAATGGAATGGGATGGGATGGAATGGGATGCGATGGGATAGGCTAGAATAGAATAGAATAATAGAATAGAATAGGAGTAGAATAGGAATAGAATAGGAGTAGACTAGAAGAATAGGAGTAGAATAGAATAGGAGTAGAATAGAATAGGGGTAGAATAGAATAGGTAGAATAGGAGTAGAATAGGAATAGAATAGAATAGGAGTAGACTAGAAGAATAGGAGTAGAATAGAATAGGAATAGAATAGAATAGGAGTAAAATAGGGTAGGATGGAATGGAATGGGATGGGATGCGATGGGATAGGCTAGAATAGAGTAGTAGAATAGAATAGGAGTAGAATAGGAATAGAATAGGAGTAGAATAGGTTAGAATAGAATAGGAGTAGAATAGGAGTAGAATAGAAGAATAGGAGTAGAATAGAATAGGGTAGGGTAGGGTAGGGTAGGGTAGGATAAAATGGAATAGGAATGAGATAGAATAGGGATAGGATAGGATAGGATAGGATAGGATAGGATAGGATAGGATAGGATAGGATAGGATAACAGAGTTGGAAGGGACCTTGGAGGTCTTCTAGTCCAACCCCCTACTCAGGCAGGAAACCCTATATTTGTCACATGCCAAAAAGTGGGGCGGGGAGCATGGGATCGCGTGCGCATGCATGGGGGGGGCAGGTCGCCTAGAATTATGGGTGTGGGCATACGCACACATGACTACCCCGCATTCCCCCAGCTTTTGGCACGCGATGGCAAAAAGGTTACCCATCACTGCCTTATACCATTTCAGACAAATTTATATAAATAGTAAGCCAAATGAATGTGGGTGGGTGTGCTTCTATAAGTCCTCAACTTACAACTGCTCGTTTACTGACTATTCAAGGTTACCTCAGCACTGAAAAAAGTGACTTTTTCCGGCCGTTTTCCACAACTGAAGACTGTTGCAGCATTCCCCATGGTCATGCAGTTCAAAAAGGAAAGAACAAGTTTCTGGTCCTTATGACCTCTGGAAGCCTTATTTTTTTTGGGAGGGGGTGGGGAGGCGGGCTCCAATTCTCCTAGCCGAGTTCGTGCATTTTGACTACCTCGTCGTGGCATTCCAGATGTATCTGCAGCAACCAGATAAATCCGAGTAAATATTTACTATGCGGAGAGAACATTTCATGCCTAATCTCCCTTGTCCCTTCCAGTAAGTGTCTGGCTTTCTCTTCGTCTTCAGTTTCCCATAGATTAGCAACCAGCCATCTGAATTTTTTTCCTTCCTAATTCTTATTCACACACGCACACGCACCCCAGCATGGATTTTTTCCTCTGCGGCATGTCGGTCGGTCACGCGGAAGTCCTTATCGGCAGAGAGAAAATAGCTAGAAAGAAGGTCAGATTCACAAACATCTTGGAAATTTCAGCTCTTGCGAGATTTTGAGGCTTCCAGGATTTCCAAACCATTATTTTTCTCCACTTTCTTGTCTTCTATATTATTTTTTATTTATTTTTCTTATTATATTTCTATGCCTATTAGGACTCTATTACACCAAAGACAGTATTAAATAGCATATTATAACAATCTGGGTCCTATTTTACCTAGGATTATTCTTCTTCTTCTTCTTCTTCTTCTTAATTAAATTTCTATACCGCCCTTCTCCAAAAAGGACTCGGGGCGGCACAGCCAAAGTAAAAACAGAGCATACAAAATTTAAAAACATATTAAAATAATTAAATATTTTGGCCGTAAATTAAAACAACCCAATTTAAAATCAATTTAAAATTCAACTCAAGCCAGCCTGAGTCAACCTTGAGCCAGTGAGATTTGATCCGCTGATCTGCTGAACTAGCAGTCAGCTGAAGTAGCTGCAGTACTTCACTCTAACCACTGCGCCACCTCGGCCCTTTTTCTGGCGGAACTAGGGTGGGTTTCTACTGGCTCGCCCGAACTGGGGCGAACCAGTAATGGCAGTGGCAGGAGGCTCCGCCCACCCGCCTGGACGTCATCACGGACGCTGTGTGCATGCGCAGAAGGTTCTGCGCATGCGCAGAAGCGCCACGCGCACTCACAGTTCTGAACCGGTAAGTGGAAGCCACTACTGGTGGAACTGATTAGGATTTATGAGTGTTGAAAATCTTTAGTGGGTCTCCAACCCGTTTCGCGAGAGCCGTGTGATGCTGATGTTTGTTATAAGGAAACCCCTAAAAACATGGAGACGGGGGGGTCTTCTTTGATTCAAACTTCCAGTGAATTTCTTGGAGTGGTTTTTAATGGCCTTTTTCCCAGTATATTTTTCTTGACCTGCTGGTTTAACCCACAGCTATGTTCTCTGCTGGTAGGGACGCGGTGGCTAAGACGCTGAGCTTCTCAATCGAAAGGTTGGCAGTTCAGCGGTTCGAATCCCTAGTGCCGCGTAACAAGGTGAGCTCCCGTTCCTTGTCCCAGCTTCTGCCAATCTAGCAGTTCGAAAGCTCGTTAAAAAATGCAAGTAGAAAAATAGGGATCACCTTTATGGTGGAAAGGTAACAGTGTTCTGTGCGCCTTTGGCGTTTAGTCATGCCGGCCACATGACCACGGAGACATCTTCGGACAGCGCTGGCTCTTCAGCTTTGAAATGGAGATGAGCACCGCCCCCTAGAGTCGACTAGCACATATGTGCGAGGGGAACCTTTACCTTTACCTTATATTCCCTGCTAAACTCTCTTTTAAGTACTAGCTTAGTCTGATCCCAGTTTAGCTAGAGCAGTCAAACACAAGGCCCGCGGGCCAGATCCGGCCTACGATGTGTTCGGATCCGGCCTGCAGGGCCATCCTGGAAAACGTAAGGGGCCGGCCCGCGTGGCTTCATAGGTGCGAGGATGTAGCAACTGTGGCCAAAAAACAAAAACAAAAAACCACAACACCACAAAGGCCGTAAAATCAGGTGTAACTCACTGAATTGCCTCCTTTGCTTAACAGTGGAAATTCTGGTTCCAATTGTGGTCGTAAGTTGAGGATTGGCAGTTCTGTTCTAGCATTGCATTTCAATAAATATTGTAGTGTTGGAAGAAAGGGCCAATACACGGGGACCTTTGTCCTGCAGAGTTGAAGGAGCAAAGTCTGTTAGTCGTCGAAAAAGTCACTGGATCTGCCACCTACTAATCGTTTTGCTTCTAATCCTGTAATGTTTTCTAGATTCTCCGCCGCTTTCTGTTAGAAGGCTAAATATCTATCTATCTATCTTCTGGATCGATTGAGTTCTTTTTTTTTTCCTTTTCCTTTTCCTTGCAGCTTGGTAAATGAGTATGGAAGATTATGACTTTCTCTTCAAAATAGTTTTAATCGGGAACGCTGGTGTGGGGAAGACCTGCTTAGTGCGACGATTCACACAGGTAAGAAGGCGTCCATTCCGATCGGAGCCTCGTAGATATTTCTGCATATCGGGCAGAAAGGACTATATAGAATATGATTCCCCCCCCAATTTGCTAGCCATTTGCTTTTGATGGGAGGTGATACGTTTTATTTTATGTATTTATGATTTATTTTATTTTATTATTTTATTGTTTTATATATTATTGTTTTATATTATTTTATGATTTATTTTATGATTTTATGTTATGTTACTTTATAATTTACTTTATTTTATGTTAATCTTATTTTTATTTTATTGTTTTATATTATATTATTTTATTATTTATTTTTATTTTATTTATTTTAATTTAATTTGTATACTGCCCTTCTCCCAAAAGGGACTCAGGGCGGTGAACAGCCAAAATTAAAATACATACAATACAAAAGTTAAGATAATTAAAAGAGATTATCGGCCTCCCAATTTAAAACCCCAAGTCTATAAAATTTAAAAATCCCATTAAAGTTATGGTTTACTTTATTATTTTATGTTATGTTATTTTATTTTAATCTTTATTATTTTTATTGTTTTATATTATATTATTTTATATTATTATTTAATGTTATTTTATTTTTTATTTTATTTATCTTATTTTATATATTATTTTTACTGTATTGTTTTATATTTTATTTTATTGTGTTTTATTTTATTTTATTGTTTATTTTATTTTATTGTGTTTTATTTTATTTTATTGTTTATTTTATTTTATTTACCTTATTATTTTTATTTTATTATTTTATATTTTATATTGGGCCAGCTGTCAGACCCAAGAGGGGACTAGAACTCCCAGTCTCCTGGTTTCTAAGATAGAAATAACCAAGTGAATAACCAATTCACTTAACATCCATGGCATTTATATAATGACCACTGCATTTGCTAAATGGCCGTCACAGAAAAGATTGCAAAATTGGGCATAGTCACAGGCTGACCCGCTTAACGACCAACACGACCTACGACCTTAACTCACCGTTGTAAATCGAGGACAACTTACATTAGCAACCTACAGTTGCTCTCAACTTGCATTTTTTGCTTTGCTAATTATTTTTGAATCATGCACCATCCAGAGTCGTTACAGAATTGGGCAGACTTACAGATTTAGTGAATAAATTAACAAATTTAAGATCCCACTGGCTGGTTGTTTTATCTGATCCAATCTCAGGACATTTTTTAAAAAAGAAAATCCTCAGATTTTCTCAGGACAGGCTCTGTTTCATGGATCTCATTAAAAAATGCTTGTGTGATGACCCGGGGCAAGGCACAGAGGCAACACAGTCAGCTGATAGTTCAAATCACCCCTTTACCGCTCCAACTTTCCCCCAAATGCTCCCATGTTGATGGCAAATCCCAGAGCAAAGTGTGCCTCTGCCTGCAAGTAGTCCAGCACAATGCTGGGAGCACAACGTCTGCAAAGCAAGAAATCCAGCGGGCAAGGGAATAAGTCAATGAGTACAGAAAGCAAAGGAACAAGGCAATTAATCCAGGGAGCAAGAAATAAAGCAAGAAGTCCAGGAAACTCCAAATGTCGGCAACGGCGCACAACACTCCGTGAATTCAGCATTTGTTCCTGACAAATGCCCCTCCCCACAGCGTTTCCTTAAAGCTCAGTCCCCAGGTATGCCTTGTGAAGAGGGGCGGGGGTGCTCTCCTCCCGAGTTGTCGGGTCGGCTTGCGCTGTTCCCGCCTTCTCTCCACTCTCCGTGCTCGGGGATCAGGAGGGGGCGGTCCTTGCTCGTCGCCTGAGCTCTGTCGCTCCTCATGTTCACTGCTTGCCCTCTCTTGCTCATCCTGCCCCCATTCCTCCTTGCCTACAAGCCTTCCCAATCCTGAAAAGCCCTGGGCTGACTCGGCCTGCTCCTCCTCACATTCCTCCCAAGTCCTCGATCTCCATTAGCTCCAGCTCTGGCTCGTCTTACTCCTCAGATTCAGGCTCCGATGGGGGCATAACAGCTTGGGAGTCTGTCTGCTGCTCCCATGTGTACTCTCTTGTCTACCACATCAAAATGACACTTCAGCAGCAGTAATTCATTGTTTTATTTTTGATGTGCCTGTAAGCCAGCCGCCACGCAAAGCAATATACATCCCAGCATCAATAATGAATTCAGTTGCTCGCTCAAATCCATTTGGAGATCGCCGCTGAAATACAGAGGCTCCAATCCCCTCGATGGCTCGTAATGTTGAAAGCGATCCTTAAAACCCGTATGGAAACAACAAGGCATTTATTTCTGCAGGGAGAATTAATACTTAAACCAGCTTCACGCAGCCACCTGCAGACAAAATAGGTTTTAGGGCCTTTTAAAATGTTGATAGATCGGGCTCCAGGTATACAATAATTCTGGGAAACTCTGGTGCCAACAGTCTGAAACAAAATGGGGGGGGGAAATGCTTTCGATTATGACCTGGCTATTTTAGTGCCAGTTGGTGAATGAGCTGAACCTACAAATGTGAGGTTTTAGAACTTTGATCTGTTTTTTTTCCCCCCTTTTTCCTTCTACCCAAGTAGTTCTCGACTTACAGCCACAATTGAGCCCCCAAATTTCTGTTGTTAATGAGCCCCCCCCCCCATTAGTGCAGGTCACATTGTCCAATTAGGTGCCCAGGTGTTATGCGAAAACCTCAACGACTCTGGCGGACACCTGCTGAAACGTCCTTGGTTCCCATGAGACAGTTTCTTGTTATCGTCTGGACTATACATTCCAATCTCTCCCTCCCTTTGAAGCCTGACATAGACTGGGTTGGTTGGTTGGTTGGTTGGTTGCCAGCCAAGCGTCCAAATTTTGGTCACACGACCATGCAGGTGTTCCGATGGATGTAAGTGGGAGGATAAATTGCAAGTCACATTTTTTGGTGCCGTTGTAACTTCTAACCTTTGCTAAATGAATGGTTTGTAAGTCCATTCATCCAAGGCAGAAACAACAATGGTGTGCCAAACGATCTCTAGAGCTGAAAGTGTTGTCTGAATATTTTTATTTTCTTTCTTTATTAAGGGACTTTTCCCACCAGGCCAAGGAGCCACCATTGGGGTTGACTTTATGATTAAGACGGTGGAGATAAATGGTGAGAAAGTAAAGGTAAGTCGTCGTTTAACTTTCCTGCCTAAGCTTAGAATCTGTTCATGTTCCAAAAGTGTGCCTTGCAACTGAGGACAACTTAAAGGACAACTTCCAACCATCCATGTGGAATTTAGTCTCCAATCTAATCCCTTCTTAAAAACCTCCAGTGTTGGAGCATTCACAACATCTGGAGGCAAGTCGTTCCACTGATTAGTTGCTCTCACTGTTAGGAAATTTCTCCTTAGTTCTAGGTTGCTTCTCTCCTGGATTAGTTTCCATCCATTGCTTCTTGTCCTGCCTTCAGGTGCTTTGGAAAATAGGTTGACCTCCTCATCTTTGTGGCAACTCCTCAACTATTGGAACACTGGAGGGAGGGAGGAAGAAAAGATAGAGAGGAAGGAAAGGAAGGAAGGAAGAAAACAAGAAAAGACAGAAAGACGAAGGAAGGCTGGATGGATGGAAGGAAGGAAGGAAGGAAATGTAGGATGATCAGTTGCAACAGAGAGGCGAAGGAAGGAAGGAAGGAAGGAAGGAAGGAAGGAAGGAAGGAAGGAAGGAAGGAAGGAAGGAAATGTAGGATGATCAGTTGCAACAGAGAGGCCCAGGAAGGAAGGAAGGAAGGAAAGGAAGGAAGGAAGGAAGGAAGGAAGGAAGGAAGGAAGGAAGGAAGGAAGGAAGGAAATGTGGGATGATCAGTTGCAACAGAGAGGCCCAGGAAGGAAGGAAGGAAGGAAGGAAGGCTGAAAGGAAATGAAGGAAAGAAGGAAGGAAGGAAGGAAGGAAGGAAACGTGGGATGATCAGTTGCAACAGAGAGGCCCAGGAAGGAAGGAAGGAAGGAAGGCTGGAAGGAAATGAAGGAAAGAAGGAAGGAAGGAAGGAAGGACGGAAGGAAATGTGGGATGATCAGTTGCAAGAGAGAGGTGAAGGAAGGAAGGAAGAAAGAAAAAGAGAAAAAGAAAGAAAAGAAAAGAAAGAGGAAGTGATGGAGATTGTTGCTTTATTCTCTTTGCCCTTTCAAGCCGATTATTTTAGGAACTTTGCCACTTTCAAAACCGATCTTCAAAATGGGTGTTTTTCTCTTTCTTCATCATCTCTGTTTCCTTTGGTCTTATATAGAATATGTAAGCAAGGGCGAGGGTAGCTTTGTTTCTTCTGGCTCACGTAAGCTGCTGTGAGCATTTCTGGAGCTTAACAGAAGGAGCCAATTTCTTCCATCCCAAAGAGTGTTCCCCCCCCCTCCCAATCCCTTTTCCCAAAGCATCTGGAAGGGACCCGTTTTGGATAGGCTTCCTTACGCAGAAGGACCCATTAACTGCTGACTCCATGATGTTTTCAGCGAGGCTTGGCTCGACATGCCGTTTAGCATCTGTGGTTGTTTTCCTTCAGTAGGAATCGAGTTGCTTATAAGTTGTTTTTTTGGTTCTCCTGCTGGAGCCACGGGCTGCCCTCAGCACTTCACAAGAGCAAAGCTGAAATAACAAGTCTCTTTGCTCAGGCAGAATTGCTGAAAATTGCATTAAAAACCATTTGTGCGGTTTGAATCCCAGGTTAATGGGGAGGGGGGGGGAGCGATCGTGCAATCACAATCTGTGTTAGAAAAGAGAGCCAGTTTGATCTATAGGGGGTTAAGGCACGAGGGTCCTGAGTTCAAATCCCGCCTTAGCCAGGAAAGCCAGCTGGATGATTTTGGGCCAGTCAAGTTTTTCTCTCTCTTGTCAATCCAATTCACCTCACAGGGTGGTGGTTGTGGGAAAAATAGGAGGAAATAAAGGGGCCATAGTTCCCATGCTGGCTCAGGAATTCTGGGAGTTGAAGTCCACATGTCATAAAGCGGCCATAGTTCCCCATGCTGGCTCAGGAATTCTGGGAGTTGAAGTCCACATGTCATAAAGCGGCCATAGTTCCCCATGCTGGCTCAGGAATTCTGGGAGTTGAAGTCCACATGTCATAAAGCGGCCATAGTTCCCCATGCTGGCTCAGGAATTCTGGGAGTTGAAGTCCACATGTCATAAAGCGGCCATAGTTCCCCATGCTGGCTCAGGAATTCTGGGAGTTGAAGTCCACATGTCATAAAGGGCGACAAAGTTCCCCATGCTGGCTCAGGAATTCTGGGAGTTGAAGTCCACATGTCATAAAGGGCGACAAAGTTCCCCATGCTGGCTCAGGAATTCTGGGAGTTGAAGTCCACATGTCATAAAGGGCGACAAAGTTCCCCATGCTGGCTCAGGAATTCTGGGAGTTGAAGTCCACATGTCATAAAGGGGACAAAGTTCCCCATGCTGGCTCAGGAATTCTGGGAGTTGAAGTCCACATGTCATAAAGCGGCCATAGTTCCCCATGCTGGCTCAGGAATTCTGGGAGTTGAAGTCCACATGTCATAAAGCGGCTATAGTTCCCCATGCTGGCTCAGGAATTCTGGGAGTTGAAGTCCACATGTCATAAAGGGGACAAAGTTCCCCATGCTGGCTCAGGAATTCTGGGAGTTGAAGTCCACAAGTCTTAAAAGGGGCCATAGTTGTCCACCCCTGGGTTAAAAGTTGAGGATATATTTGTTGTGGCCCACCAGCGGCCAGCAGATTTGGACAGTGAGGAGGTTGGGGAGGAACGTGGCCCAGTCCTGGAGTCTGGGGAAGGCTCAGACAATGGCTCTAAGTCGGAGGCAGAGAGGGGGCCAAGGCCATCTGGTAGTTCTTTGCTGCCTCCAGAGTCTAACATCAGTGAGGCAGAAGAACAGCGTGAGCCTGTTCCCGGTGTGCGCATGCGCAGAGCTGCCAGGAGACAGGAACAATTAAGGAAACAATGTCGACTTGGGAGTAAGGCTTGGAGATGATTGGCCCCTCCCATAAGACATAAAAGAGAAGTAAGCTTTTGCAGGAAGCGATTCGTTCATCTGGCCGATTCAAGATTTGAAACTTCTGTTTGTGACTCTGTGCCAAGTTTGGCCTTGCCCTGCGTCTGGAAATTAGCTCTTTGAGTTCCACGTGAGATAGGTGGGTATTGACAACCTTCCTCTGAAAGACTGTAAATGAAAGTAATTTACAGCCATAGGAATTAAAGAGGTTTGCCGGGACTAAGTTTGTGCTGTTTAATTTCTAAGGAAGCCTAGGTCAGAACAATATTATTAGTTTGTTCCATACCCAGCTTGGGTATCATGTATTCGTAGTCAGCCTGTCTACCGCTCCATTGATTTAGTCTACAGTCCTGTGTAATTTATAGTTAAGAGGCCATGATAAGACATGCAGGAGGGTTCTGTAAAATAGCAAATACTGCATTTTTAATACAGGTACATTTGATGGAAGGCTAATGGCCAGAGAACAACAGTTATTGTTTAAAAGAAAAGGCAATCTTTTGCTTGCTTGCGGAAAAAAAAAGTTTGCAGCTTGGGAAAAAAAATAAGTTTGCACGTACGGTATACCTTACTTTAAATGACTCTCGGTAACAAAATTTCATTCATTATTGATTGATTGATTGATTGATTGGTTCGATTTATATGCCGCCCTTCTCTGGAGACTCAGGGCAGCTTACAATGCGCTAAGCAATAGCCTTCATACTTTTTGTATATACCTGCTTAGTGGGGCTTTTTTATAGAAAGTCACCTTATTGCCCCCACAATCCAGGTCCTCATTTTACCTACCTCGGAAGGATGGAAGGCTGAGTTAACCTTGATCCTGGTGAGATTTGAACTTGCAGTAATTGCAGACAGTTACTTAACAGCACTTTAGTCTGCTACGCCACCAAGGCTCTTTGTTGTTGACGTTGGCTCTCATTTATTAATCATATTGGCCCATAGCTCTGGAAACCTTAATCTAGGGATTTGCTGAATTCATTGTATATTGAAACTTTTCTTTTTCCAAGAAAATGAAAAACCGAGTTATTAAAATTCTGTCAAACAAACAACAGGCAAAATCAGTATTAGTGCCCTTTTTTTTTTTTTTAAAAAAAAGAAAAGACTTAAAAAAAAGAGAGGCCAGATAAAAGGGTGCAGAATTCAGCTAAAACCTTTGGAGAATAAACCTCAAAAGTTGACATGTCACTTGCTTTGAATGCCATTAAGATGTTTTGGTGGGAGGATACGTTCGCCGTTAGGTCCTTTGTGCTCTCTGAGCTTGGTTGTTTTTTTGCAGATGTTTCATTACCTGACTGGGTTACATCATCAGTGCTAACCGCACTCCCTTCTAGCCCTGATGATGTTACCTAGTTGGGTAATGAAACGTCTTTAAAAAACACACAATCAAGCTCAGAGAGCACCAGGGACTTTTCCTTTCAATCCTGAACTACAAATATTCTCCTTTATCAATACCTTTTTCCCCTTTCTTTTTTCTTTGCTTTTTTTTTTATATTTTATACTTTATTTTTAATTTAAAAAAGTTTTGAAAGAAATAGAGGTGGACACTTGATATGGATGGGAACACGTGGAGGATTTGTGGGCTAAAGAAGGACATGAGGTCACAGGTTTTATTGGGGTCAATGCTAACCCGTTCTTTTTTCCTTTCCCTAACCCTTTGTTTTCCCTCTCTCCTCTTCCCAAAGCTGCAGATTTGGGACACAGCGGGACAAGAAAGATTTCGTTCCATTACGCAGAGCTATTATCGCAGTGCCAACGCGTTAATCCTGACCTATGACATCACCTGTGAAGAGTCCTTCCGATGCCTCTCCGAATGGCTACGGGAAATTGAGCAATATGCCAGCAATAAGGTCATCACCGTCCTAGTTGGTAAGAGACATTGGCACGTTTATCTGATACCAGGGATCTGTCAGGCGGAATCGATCAGGAAGCAAGGCGGTTCAAATGACTTCAGGTTTATTGCATGGTAACGCTCTGGACACGAATCTGAACTACTAACAGTCAAAGCAAATTAGCGGTAGATAAGTCGATGGAATTCAAGCTGGGCTGGACTTACAGTAGTGGCCAAAATTGTGGAAACTTTTTGAGAAAAGTGTATTTTCTAAAACTAGCTAATAACACCACTTTTTTTTTGAGTAGTACCATAAAATTATTTATCAATGGAAAGATAATTTAATCAAAAATGTAATGCAATAACTTTTACGAAGGATTTGCTGTTAGAATAGCAGTGAAAAAAATTGAAACACGTAGAAAAAACGAGATCTACAAAAATTATCGCCATAGTAAGAACAAGATATACAAAAATTATCACCATGTCAGTTAATACTTAGTTGGGTAACCTTTGGCATGAACTACGGACTTATAATGTCTTCCCATGGAGTGAACCAAGTCTTTTAGTTCTGCAGCTGTTCTAATGTGAAACCAAGATTGAATAATGGCTTCTATTAACTGGGTTTTATTGCTGGGTTGCTTCTGACTAACAAGTTTCTTTAGATGGCTCCATAGATTTTCCATTGGGTGAAGGTCTGGGCTATTCCCAGGCCATTCCAGCAGTGGAATAGGATTATCTTGAAACTCCCAAAAAATAAAAGTGGTGTTATTAGCCTCAAAGCTCAAAAATACACTTTTCCCAAAAGGTTGCCACAATTTTGGCCACTATTGTAGATCTCTTGTGAACACAAAGGGACTCCAAACTGATGATGTTGATGACATCTCCCTCAGGCTCAGCCTGGTGATCTCCTATATCTGTGATGGCGAACCTATGGCACGTGTGCCACAGGTGGCACGTGGAGCCATATTGGTGGGCATGTGAGCATTGCCCTAGCTCAGCTCCAGCGTGCATGTGCGTGCCGGTCAGCTGATTTTTGGGCCTTCTGGGCCCACCGGAAGTTGGGAAACAGGCTGTTTCCGGCCTTCGGAGGGCCTCCGGGGGGGGGTGGGGAAGGCTGTTTTCGCCCTCCCCAGGCTCCAAGAAAGCCTCTGGAGCCTGGGGAGGGCGAAAAACAGGCCTACTGGGCCCACTGTGCCATTGCGTGCCAAAAGCGTGGGGAGGTCACGTGTGCATGCGTGGAGGGCGTATTAATTTATGGGTGTGGGCATGGGCGCGTGCGACCCCCCACACTCCCCCCGCTTTTGGCACACGACGCCAAAAAGATTAGCCATCACTGTCCTATATCTGGCCAGATTAAAGCAACAACCTGCATAAGCATTAGATATTCTCTGTGAATAGCTAGAGAGGGTCCATCTTCACTCTTTTCCTGCATATCAAATATTCCAAGCTACTCTCGGGGAAAGAGCCCCTCTCACTTGTGACTTTGGGCCACATTTCGCCATACTCGGGCAACCCAAATCTGATTTTTATCAAGCTCCCCTACCCCTACCCCTCTTCTATAGTTGATATTTAGCTCAATAAGGATCACTCTTCTTTTGTTGTGATCTAGGTTTACTGAGTCATTACAAGACCGAATTATTCCCAAACAAACCTATTTTATTGTAACAGCTTAGAATTACGTTCATTCCCAGTTGAGTCCCAATTAGTTGCAAATCAAGTCCTTTGGAAGAAGTCCTTTGGGATAATCACCAACCTTTATCTTCTTTGACACCCTGCCAAAGGCCTTACTTGGCAAAGCCCCATGAAATTCAGAAACAAACAAGAGACGCCAACTGGAAACAGAGTTAGCAATGTTGCTTTTCTGCAAAAGCCCCAGTGCCTTTGTTTCTCTTTTAAGCCTTATGGGAGGGGCCGATCATCTCCTGGCCTTACTCCCAAGTCATCCCTTTTGCTTTAGCTGCTCTTGCCTTCTGGCAGCTCTGCACATGTGTGCACTAGGAACAGGCTCCCCCTGTTTCTCTGCCTCTCTGCTGTCTGACTCTGGGGGCTCTGGAGTCCATGCATCGCTCCCAGATGGCCCTGGCCCCATCTCTGCCTCCAATGCAGAGCCCTTGTCCGGGCCTTCCCCAGACTCCAGGACTGGTCCATGTTCCTCCTCAGCCTCCTCACTGTCCGACTCTGCTGCCAGCTCCACAGGCTGCTGGCAGACCACAACATCTTTGCAGATCCTTTGTTCAGTTGTTGGCTTCATAACTTTCTCGATCCAGTCGAATTTCTCCCTCCTCCTGTTTGGTTTCGCTTAGTCTTTGCAGATCCTTTGTTCAGTTGTTGGCTTCATAACTTTCTCGATCCAGTCTAATATCTTCCCCCTCCTGTTTGTTTTTCTCTAGGAAACAAGATTGATTTATCCGATAAGCGTGAAGTCTCCCAACAAAGAGCCGAAGAGTTTTCCCGAGCCCAGGATATGTACTATCTGGAGACGTCAGCAAAAGAATCTGATAACGTGGAAAAACTCTTTTTGGACTTGGCTTGTCGGCTGATCAGCGAAGCGAGGCAGAACACCTTGCTGAACAATGTGGAGTCTCCCTTGCCGGGCGAAGGGAAAAATATCAGTTATTTGACTTGTTGCAATTTTAACTGATCGCCTTTGAACCTCAAAGAGTTATTATGACTGCTCCTTCTACAGGCCTCTCTCTAGAGGCAAAGGCTGCTATGACCCGGTCTGACTGATGGCGATAGTCAGACACTCGATCATGAAGCATGCCAGGCTGACCATTTGTCTGCAGAGTCAGCCTAGAATATAATCGTGTTTTTTTTTTTCCTTTTTAACATGTGCCACCCCAGAGCCCCAAAATTTGGAGGAGATTTAAGATTCAAAAAAAGGTGCTAGGTAGCAGCTGGTCAGGTCATGGTTTTCACTTCTTTAGAAGCATCTGGGATCCTTTCGCTTGGAAATTCAGGATGAATCGTGCCTGCCTTTTTTTTACATCTTTACAGAAGGAAACCGAGAGGCACGGTAGAAAATGGCTGTGGGTTGCCAGCATAAGTTGACAACGCTTGTATATAAACCAGGACCCAGAGTGCCATTTTGTTACGGCACAAACTTCACCGAGTGTGCGTGTCACGTGCATATGTAATTAAAAAAAAAAACCCTAAGTATTAACGCATCTGTGTTCTGGGATTTTGAGAAACATGGAAGTTAAAAAGGGATCAGTTGGTCGTTTGCAATCAGGAGGTCTTGAGGTTGGGACCCTTTTGGTTCTTCTTTCTATTCCCGAAGCGAAATTTCCTCTGTGGTCAGCTTACTCTCTTCTCCACAGTCAGGAGGTGTGGAAAGGTGTTGATCGTAAATACAGCAGCCTGTTTGTTAGTTCATGCCCACGTGGCACGGCTCGTTCTGGATACAGAGACCAATGATATGAATTCAAAAGTTGACCACTAGTTATCCCTGCACTTCTGATCAAGTAAGCGTTCCAAAACTTTTGTCTCTTCAAATCAGCATTTGTTTTACCGTTTTTGCCATTGGGTGGGGCTTCCAAAAACTCACTTTTGTTGCTTGCGGAAAAGAGGTGGTGAAGTATTGTTCATACCGCTCCACTGATCTTGGGTTTAGCCAAAATAGCTTCTTTGGTGAGAAATTGCCGGATCCTGGAAGTCTGGCTTTCAGATGTTGTTTGAGAGAGAATGCTGCAGCTCTGAGGCTGGAGGCTACACTGATGCACAAATGTCATATTTGGGGTGTGCTCTATTGTTGATGCCTTTGAGGAATGGGGCATGGATGTCCCTCTTGAAATGAGCTGTTGAACGTTAACAGATCTCATGGCTGAATTCTGCTTTTAATTAAAACACTAGCACCAGCTCTGGAATTTGCTGTCTTATTGGAAAAGGCGTGTACAGTTTCAAAAGGTTTTTTTAAAATACGGTTGAGGGAGAAAAAAATAGCACGTTCTAAATCTTTTAAGATGGCTTTATTGAGTCTGCGATCATCTTGCAGAATACGTAACTCTGCAAAGCAATTTCAAAAGGCAGAAACGCAAGCCCACTTCCCACAGTCAGTTGGAGATATTCGTTTTGTTTGCTGTACTTGGGCTCAATTGTGCGTAGGTGTGCGTGCGCCTGTGCGCGTACGCTGAAGAACGGTGTGCAGGCAATACCCTTGAACCAGAGCCTCGGTGCTGGAAGGACGATATACACAAAAGTCTCACCGTACGAGTTTGCAAATTCAGCACTTTGAACGTCGAATTGCAAGGAGTCAACGCAAATTTCCTTATCGGTGCTTCACTTGTATACCTTTGAAGAGAGACAGACAAACTGGTCTGGAAGGCAATGGACTCACAACAGGTTATTAAGATATTAGCATTACATGGCCGGCTGTTCCGTATTTAGCATCACTTCATTTGGGTAATTGGAAGAAGCAAATAAGGACTTTGGTATGGCATTCAATGAAGAGGTGGTTCTATCCAATGGGCGCATCAGCCTCCAGTAAAAGCAGTGGTATTGTCAATTCAAGAGAGCCGGTTATTACAGGATGTTTTGGGGGGATAGAGTTGTGCTCAAACTATGACCGATGTCCCCTTTTGCATTAAAATAAAGCTGCTAAAATTTTAGCCTTTTTGAGAATAAAGCTGACATTTTAAAAGTGTTGCATTTTTTGCCTCTTTCTTGCAGTTTACTTTTTTTTTTAAAATTTTTTCCAAAATCCAACCAGTGGTGGAATTCTTTTTTTAACTACCAATTCTGTGGGCTTGGCTTGGTGGGCATGGCAGAGGAAGGATACTGCAAAATCCCCATTCCCTCCCCACTCCTGGGGGAAGGATATTGCAAAATCTCCATTCCCACCCCATTCTGGGGCCAGCCAGAGGTGGTATTTGTCAGTTCTCCGAACTACTCAAAAGTTCCGCTACCGGTTCGCCAGAACCTGCTGAATAGCACCCCTTAATCCAACATTACTGTTATAAAAATCACGGAGTTATCCATCCTTGAAGATGTAGAACAAAGCTTCCAACGTTCATTTATTAATGAGCAGACAAGAGAGGGAACTCTCCCCATTCTGTACAGGTAGTCCTCAACTTATAGCTATAACGGAACCCCACTTTTCTTTTGCTAAGCAAGACCATCGTTCAGTGAGTTTTGCCCCGTTTTAGGACCTTTCCTGCCATTTCAGTGAATATCTGCAGTGTAGTAACGCAGTTAAGTGGCTTCCCCATTTTACTTTGCTTGTCAGAAGGTTGTGAAAGGAGATCACGTGACCAGACACTGCAACCGTCTGTTCTGCCCCAGCTACGGACCCCAAAGAACGCAGCACACACAAAGTCTGTACAAACCTTAGTTTACTAAATTAAATCAGTCTTTTTCAAATAAAGGCTGTTAATTAACTTTCTTAACAGTTTACAAGAATCCAAAGAATAAATAATCGTAATCTTACTATGGTTGGCAGAAAGCCCAGAAACAATTTGCAGGAAACTGATAAGAGAACTAAGATCAGGACGCGAAGGAATGAAAGAAGTTGTTCCCTGCAAATTGCCTCAGTCGTCGTCCTTCCTTAAATAGGCTAAGGGAGTGGCCAATTAGCCCCAAGCCTTACTCTCGAGGAGAACTCCTCCTGAGGAACCACTTCTGCCTTTTAACAGCTCTGCGCGCTCGTGCATCGAGAAGATCTTCTTCCTCTTCTTTTATGGGAGCTTCTGGAGGTTCTGAAGGCCCTGGCTGAATCCCCGCCTCTGGCACCACATCTTCTCCAGCCTCCTCATTGTCTGACTCAAGTGCCAGCTGCACATGCTGCTGGCCCAGCACCACACCAGCCTCCTTGCTGTCTGAATCAGCTACTAGCTGCACGGGCTGCTGATGGGCCACACCACCATCATAAATACTTGCCAGTTGCTGAGCCTCTGAATTTTGATCACAAGACCAGGCGGATGCTGCAACGATCGTGTATCAGGTTATCAGTCACTTTTCATGTGCCATTGTAACTTTGAACAGTCACTAAATGAACAAGTTGTAAGTCGAGGACTACCTGAATATAAATTTTAGGGCTAAAATATATGACTTGCAGCCTTGAAGGAAAGATGGCGATTACTTGATCTGAAAGCTCCTTCCAAGTTGTGATTAATCCTGAATGTCTACACCAGAGGTCTTCAAACTTGGCAGCTTTAAGACTTCTGGACTTCAACTCCCAGAATTCTCCAGCCAGCATAGCTGAGTTGAAGTCCACAAGTCTTAAAGCTGCCAAGTTTGAAGACCTCTGGTCTACACCTCCTGTCTGTAGTTTATTACTTTATTTTATTTACATACTTAGATACAGCCATAGGACTTCCAGCAATTTACAATATCAAAATTTAAAATGTCAGCAGACAAATAGGTTCTTGTTTAACCACGCTGGTTGGAATGAGAAAGTCGCTCATCAAGCAACAGAGTTTTAAGTTGAACATGGTGCTTAGCAACGGCAGTTCCAGCAATCCTGGTTGCCATTGTTAAAACAATTGGGGGGGACGGGGGTCATTAAGTGAGGATCTCACCTGACTTAACATCTGACTTCCCGCTGGCTTCCCCAATGACTTTGCTTATGGAAGCTGGCAGAGGTCATCACAAATCATAATCACAGAAGCGGTGGGACGCTGTGACAGCTGTTCAGTTAAAAAAACCTGGTCATAATTTATTTATTCATTCAGAAGCCGCCATAAATTCAAATGGTTGCTGAATGAGTGGACATTAAAACAAGAAGCACCTGCACATCAAACTGATGAAACTGTTAACTCATCTGTCTCCTCAGCCGAGGAACAAACTAAGAGGTTTTGCAAACAAACTCAGTTTAAATCACCTTTCCAAATCTCTGCGGGGAGAAACTGTTTTGAGAGCTGTGACAAAGTTATTTTCTTCCACCGCATATATGTGGGGAATCCTCAGCATCTCCTAAGTATCCCAGATAGCTTGGGTCTATTTCCGTGATGGTGATCCTATGGGCCAGAAATGGCACGCAGAGCCATCTCTCCAGGCACGCAAATTGTTGTCCGTTGCTCTTCCGGGTTCCAGCATGCCGGCTAGCTGGTCTACATGTGCATGGGAGTGTCAGAAACCGGAAGAGCAGCTGCCTAGTGTGCCCAGCGCACCGATCGCCTGGTCTTCCGGTTTCTGGCGTGCATGCATGCACGAAGACAAGCTGGCCGGTGCGCATGCGCACGCCGGAAACCAGAAGATCATCTTCCCAGAGCATGCATGCGCACCGGGCGGCTGCTCTTCTGGTTTCTGGCGCTCCCGCATGCGTGAAGAGCAACTGGCCAGCTTGCAGGAACCTGGAAGAGCAACGGGAGCAGAGCTGCCGGCCAGGACGGGCGGTCCTGGGCTTCTCTCCCTCCCCGCCCGACAGGCTTTTTGTGTGGGGAGCCCTCCAGCCTGTGACACCGACGTCCGTCCGTGTTCCGGAGCACTTGGCTGGCTCTGGTGCATGGGGCAGTTGCTGCCGCTGGGGGCAAGGGGGTGGTGGTGGTTCTCACGCTGCTGCCTCCAGCTAGGATGCTGGAGCAGCCAGAGGAGGAGGAGGAGCCTTCTCATGCATGGAGACGGTGCCAAGGGCCTGGCTCGCCAGCGGGGTAGCAGCTACGGGGCTGGCCGGTCGCTGCTGCCCCTTGCTGCTGCTGCTGTTCTGGGGCAGTGGGGCTGTGCAGGAGCTGAGTCCGCATGGGAGGAATATCTGTCCAGCGCCAGGTAAGAGGCGCATTGGCCAGGAAGCGGTCGCACTTCCTTGGCAAAAGTGGCAGGAGGGGGGGCTGCGCTGACTGGTTCTCGGTGGTGGGCGCTTCATCCCAGCCAGAGTTGAGGTAAAGCTCTCCCATCTCCTGGGGCCCCCAACCCGAGCATCAGGAATGGCAACGCCTCTTTCCTCCGAGGCTGAGAAGGAGGCTCCAGCTTTCCAGCAGAGGGAGGGGCATTCCAACTTTTTCTCCCTGTCCGGTGCTGCAGAACCAGATCATCGGGTCGATGTCCCATCACCCCAATGGGGACCAGGGGGGCAGGCAGGGAGGCGCAAGGCCCCCGAAAAGCTAGGTAGAACTGGCGCATGTGCACCGGATAGCTGGTCTTTGGGCGTGCATGCATGCCAGAAACTGGAAGACCAGGTGGCCTTCTCGGCACGCACATGCTCTCGTTTTGGCACTCGGTGCCGAAAAGGTTCGCCAACACTGGTCTATTTGAACGAAATGGTCCTGGAGATGTTTAGGGACCAAACTATAAAAGGTTTTCTGGGAGTTGAAATCCACAAGGTCATAAAGTTGCCAAGGTTGGAAACCCCTGCCCTACACCATTTCAGAAAAATGGTTGTCCAATCTCTTCTTAAAAACCTCCAGTGTTGGAGCACTTACAACTTCTGGAGGAAAACCCTTCCACTGATGATTTGTTCTCACTGTCAGGAAATTTCTCCTTAGTTCTAGGTTGCTTCTCTCTTTGATTGGTTTCCATTCGTTGCTTCTGGTCCTGCCTTCAGGTGCTTTGGAGAATAGGTTTCTGAGAACTTTAAATAATACACCGTTGCACCATCCCTATGGTCGTATGATCAATGGGGAAGCCAGATTCACTTAACAACCATGTTACTAACAACTGCAGTGATTCACTTAACAGCTGAGGCAAAAAAGGTCATCAAATGGAGCAAAAGTCACTTAACAAATGTCTCAATTTAGCAACAGATACTTTGGGCTCAATTATGATGCTGATTTGAGGATTACCTGTAGTCTGCTGATTCTCCATGAATGGTGGACATATAAGTAGCCTGAACATTAATATTTATTTATTTATTAGACTTAGAGGGCTGGCAAATCAGAAAGGTTCAAGGCAGTCATATGACAAAGGAAGATGAAACACCAAAGACGACAAATTCATTCAATTTTAATTTTCTAGGAAAGAGTCCCTCAATGCTCTATTAGACATAATCCATTCCTTAAAATGATCCGACGGAATATGAACAAACCTTGCTATATATATAGTATAATTTAAAAAAAAAACCATCCCAGCTTTTGCTGTCCCAGCCCCAAATTTACAACTATTGAAACTGCACTCCAAATACAACTGTGACCGAAAAGACGTTATTTCAAAATGAAAGGTGTCTTCAAGAGGTTGGCAGTGATAGGGTGGCCTCTGCGTTGAGCAGCTGGTCATGATCGGAGAAGAGTTCAGAAGACCAGTCTGCAACATGAGGCACAGGAGAAGGTGCGGGCAGTAGCTTTGATCTGCTGAAGTCTACCAAAGGTGGTTTGTCAGGCGATTCGGTGACTGGCGGACCAAGCATTGTTCTCTGTTGACGTACAGGTTGGCCTTCAACGTCAGCTTCTTCTGGTTGCTGCTTTTTAGGAAGAAATCTGAGCTTTGCTAATTTGGAAAGATTTTTTGGACTCGAGGATCCTCCTTGGTTTTCAGAAAGAGGAAAATCCTCCATAACTCGTCCATCACTGTGAAACCTGATGAAGCTTTTTGACCTCTTTCTTCTCCACGATTTTACATCCTGATCTTGGATGTTCCTCAAAGGAGGACTCCATTCTTGGCCACCATCTTCAGACAGTGACTCTTGGACCGAGAGGCGACTCGGAGGTCCACATGGGCTGTCCGTGCCAGCTTCTGCATTGCTTGACCTTGCGGACGGCGAGAATTTGCTGACGAGCTGTTTCACTAAAAAGTTTTTAGAGGGGAGCCTAGACCTTTTACACCTGGCCTTGTCCCAAGGCAATTTATTCAGGGGGAGTTGGCTTAGAAAGGATCCTTTCCCTGCAGTGAGACACTCTGGATGACAAGGCCTTGCGAAGGGAATGGAGCGGGGAGTAGAAGTGAAGTCCAGGATCCCTACAGGGCTGCATTCAGATGTGATCTCTGAGCCAGCAATCGGAGTACTTGTTTTGGGGACTGAGACATCCATTGTATCACATAACGATAACCCCAAATGAGAAGTAGCCCAGCTAGCATTTCCCTTACCTTGCCTTGGCATGAATTCTGATATTATACAGTTTGGGGTCAGCATGCCAGCCCGAGACGTAACTATCTGGGGCCCGCGTAACGTTGCTGGAGTGCTTTTCGTCGATCCCCCGGCACTAATATCAAAGAGATCTGCTGAAGCATCAAAATTAGCCTCGCGGCAACTGGAACCCACCTGTGGGAAACAATAGATGTCCCTTCCTCTCCAAGCACAGTATTCTTCTTCTGCGAGCAGCTCGTTCTCTTTATTTTCGCCAAGAACCGAGGCAGGATGCTGCTCTTGACCGTTCGGGAGATCGGCAGTGGAGTTGCCGTTGTCAAGTCTGGCAAGAAATTCAATCAAGCCTTCGGAGGAGGCTTCTTGAGCGGTTACACCTCCTGTGGCATCAGGAGAAGAGGAGGAAGCAAGGTGCTCCTTAGGTCTCTGGTGGGGCAAAGGGTGCTGTGGATTTACTAGCCCATAGCTGGATTGGATGTTAATTATGCATGAAGAATCTTTCTGCTCCGATGGTAAGGGGCCTTCTAATATATCACCATCTTTTCCTTTTGCGGAAAGTCTACTTCCCAGTCCGTCCCTAGTGGTGAGACTTTGTGGAGAAGAATACAAACAAGACTTCTTACCTTCATGTACATCTCTCTTATCTCGCTTCGAGTTTGGGCCCCTGAAATTGTACGCCAATTGGTTGTGTGATATAATAAATCCATCTTCGTCTTTTTGCTTCTCCAAGCTGGCCTGGCGTGTATCTAAAGCTGCAGAATGTTCTGCGTCTTCTGATGAGGTAGATGACCAAGTAAGCCCAAATGAGTAAGGCCAGAGGGTTAAAAAAACATTTTTGAGATTTGACTGAGTCGCATCCAAATCGTCAGAGAGATGGAGGCTCTTTAATTCTCTGCTTGGGTGATCAGATGCCAGGACGTGATCCAGAGGCCGTAAAGCCCCATGACTCTGCTTAAACGGACAACTTCGCTGCTGCTCAATATAGTGGATAACGGTGTAGCCCACAAGCCCAGGGTGGGGTAGGGACATTTCACAGGCGATGAGAGCTTTGGTGCTTCTCTCCCTTGGGGGGCCATTTTGCAATAAGGGCTGGTCAGAAGGGACAACGTAGGGCAAGTTGGAACTCTGCAAAAAAATGAAATCCAGTTATTTATTTATGAAATTAAATGTCAGACCTGGACTGTCTTCCTACGCTCAGCTACCTGACAAGTGAGGATTTAGAAACTTGTTTTATCATATTGTCCACATCAGCCAATTTCAAACCGTAGTTACTTGAAGCTGGCTAGTTTAAACTAGACATAGGAAACCTTAGTCACAGTTCTAGATCCAGACTAAGAGAAAGTTGAATCTATCTATCTATCTATCTATCTATCTATCTATCTATCTATCTATCTATCTATCTATCTATCATCCATCACCATCTATTATCTATCATCCATCCATCCATCCATCCATCCATCCATCCATCCATCCATCCATCCATCCATCCAGCCTATTGCTGCCTACTCATTCATGGCAACTCAAAGCAGCTTACAGGAAATAATAACATAATATAAAAGAAAGTTAATAAAAAATAAAAATAATAAAATAATAACCCCCACCCTGGTGACAACACATACACACCAGTCATTTAAAGGGGTCCATCCCGCTCTGGGTCCCCCAAGCCCATTGGCTGTACCACGTCTTCAAGGACTTCCAAAAGAGTGTCAGAGTGGGGGCCAGTCTAATCTTCGGGGGAGGGGTGATGTTCCAAAGGGAGGGAGTCACCATGGAGAAGGCCCCTCTTCTGAGTCCCGCCAGATGTTATCTCCTTAGGGGATGAGACCTGCAACATTCCTTGCCTCTCTGCTCTAGTAGGTCAGGTGGATGTGACCCGCAAGAGACGGTCCCTCAGATAACTTTGTTTTAACTAAAAACAAAGTGCCTCTTCTTGTTTCTTCAGAGTAGAAGTGTAAGAGGCTGAACTATTTTTGCTGCTCATTTATGCTCATTCCCGAAATGCTTAACTAAGGATTGTCAATCTTTCAGTAAATGATTTACCGTATTTGCTGAGTATAAGACGCACATTAGTTTTTGGGGAGGAAAACAAGAAAAATAAAATTCTGCCTCTGCCTACTAGCATCCATTGGTCAGCTGGTCCATTGGTCAGCTTCAGCACGTTATTGCAGCCACAAACAGCTGATTGGTGGTTGGATCAGCCTCCCGGAATACCGCCAATCACCTGTTCTAGGCTGCAGGGATTGCCAGAGCCCGCCGCTGCCTCCATGCACCGCGTTTTTGGCCTCCGCACGCCCCATTTTTGGCCTCCACGCATCACATTTTCAGCTGGTTCCAGGCAGCAGGGATTGCTGCCGCCGCCGAAAATGCAACAGAGGCCAAAAACGGGGCATGTGGAGGCTGAAAATGCAACGTGAGGAGCCCGAAAATGCAACATGTAGAGGCGGCGATTGGCGGCGATGTGCTGTGGCAATCCCCGCAGCCTGGAACAGGTCTAATACGGGGCGTGTGGAGGCCGAAAACGCAACATGCGGAGGCCGAAAATGGCCTAAGGGTGGGGGCCAGCGGGGCTTCGGCAATCTTCGGTGTATAAGACGCACCACAATTTTCACCCACTTTTGTGGTGGGGGGGGGAGGGAGTGCGTCATATACTCAGAAAAGTACGGTAATGTTTTGGGAAGAATAAAGTCCCCAGTGTGGGTATCAATAATGCAAAAGTCCAGGTCTCTCCCATGGCAGGGGTAGATCTGTAGTTTTGTGCATTTCTTGACTCAAAATAGCAATTCATATCATGATTTATGGCTGCAGCAAATACTCTGAAACCTTGACAGGCTTGTAATTAAGCATGTGAAAACTTTCTTTGCTTTCTAGCAAAATCAAACAGAGAGTGCTATTCCTTCCTAAAGTAGACCCTGAATTTATGCTGAGTTTCTCTGCCAACGCATCTATCTGCCTTTGTGAAATTCCTTACCCATATAATTAAAGGATAGTATTAAAATGAGGTTAGAGTCTTGTTTGGATCATCTCATCAAATTCTGCAGAGCTGAAAATTCACTGCATAACAACCTACTACCTCTTTTGATCGGCAATGTCTCCAAAATCTCACAGACTATGCAGGTAGTCCTCATTTAGTGACCAAAACTGGGACGAGCAACTCAGTCGTTAAGCAAAGCTACTGTCCTTATAATCTTATTTCAGCCCTCCTTTGATTTGCAGAAGTGCAAAAAGTGGCAAATGTGACGATTGGTCGCGAAGTTACTTTATTCATCGCCGGAGGAATGGTTGTTGAACAAGGCAGTTGCTAAACAAGGACTGCCTATATAAATTTCACAAGATCTCAGGGACCTTACCCTGAGGCAAATATATTGAAGCCCCTGAAATCAGCTAAAAAGTTGGTGCCCTTATAAAATTCCGCCCTCTTTTCTTTTTTCAAAAAAATGTATTTAATCTGAGGAGTTACAGGTCCTATTTGGAGGAATGTTGAAGTCCAGGTGTTTGCAGATTGTTCTGTTGCTGACTCTAAGAGACAGTTTATACCAGGGGTGACAAACACAAGGCCTGCGGACTGGATTTACCACGCAGGGCCGCCCTGGAAACAGTAAAAGACTGGCTGACTCGCGGTGCCTCTGCCAGCGAAACAGCGCCTCCTGCAGCCTTCTGCCAGTAAAAACGGAGCTCGGGGAGGCCATGTGCAACCTGCCCAGACTGCGTTTTCAGCCATGAGGACCACCTGCAGCCGTCTGCCAGTGAAAACGGAGCTCGGGGAGGCTGTTGCAGCTGAAAATGGAGCCTGGGGAATCCCATTTTTGCTGGCAGAGAGCTGCAGGACGCTGTCGTGGCTGAAAACAGTTTTGACTAGTGAAGTCAATCTGGCCACGCCCACCCTGGCCACACACCCCCGAGGTCAAACACAACCCTGATGTGGCCCTCAATAAAATCGAGCTTGAGACCCCTGGTTTATAGCATTTAGCAGTTATGCATGAGGATTATAGTCTTCTACAATTTGAGACGCAACATTATAAACATAAGAAGAAGCACCTGGATCAAGGTAGAATCAACATTCCAATTACTGGAACTGTTATTTCAGCCTGTTAAATGCCAATTATGAGGATGCTCATAATTTAAACCAGAAACCTGACCAGGCACACCCAGGAGCTTGCCCAGCAACGTAAATTATCTGTCATGCTTAAATTGCACGTTTCCTAAAAGATTTATTCCGAGCAGAACTGTCACCTTAATCCTGAAGACAAACTTCTTCCCAACAAAGCAAGTTTCAACAGCATGAAATACGGCACCAAACACGGCATCATTTTCGTCCTCTCCTGCTTCGCGGTTCAGTTCTTCGATGTACCTTGATGGAGAATAATTTAATTTCTAATTCAACAGCACTCTCGCAACATTTTTTAAAAGTTATACACAGGAAGGGAAGCGAACAGACCTGCCTTTTGATAAATGTTTCATGTTGCTTGTGAACATCTCCCACAAGCCTTTTAAAAATCCAGTCCAAGTTGCTGAATTCAGGATTTTGAGGCACACAATAAACAAAGCAAGAGATTTCTGCTTTCTGACCCAATTCCTGTTTTGTTGATAATCATTTATCTGCGTAGTTATAAATCCTTCCGGATGATTTAACCGTGTGGTGATATTTTTTTTCTTCATACATCAAGATTCATCCAGAAAATCTTAGGTATCTCTAATGCGTGGCTACAATCATGGAAATCGTGTTGTCAATTACACAGAAATTGCCTTCCGAACTAACAGTTGTTTTCAGACACGCTATACATAGTCCTCGATTTATGGTCACAATTGAGCCCAAAGTTTCAGCTGGGTAGGCAAGATAGTTGTCCCATTTTACAACCTTTCTTGCCACAGTTGTGAAGCGAATCACTGCAGTTGTTAAGTGAGTCCCACAGTTGACATTTTACTTGTGAGCAAAGCACAAAGGCTGGGGGAGCCTAGGTTACAATAAGACAGGAACAAAACATTTACTGGTTTGATGGCAACATTCTTAAAAACCCTTTATTCCTTATCTCTTGCTCAACTTCCTCTGCAATAGTAATTATCAAATCTGTGAAATATTTTAAATAAATTAGACAACCTTAGGCTGTTGAGGAAAAAATATTTATCTGCCTATAACTCATTTTCAGTACAGAATTTAAATGTTCTGGGCAAGAATCCAATAGCTATATTTTCTTTTGATATAGAGAATTGGTGTTAATGAATATATTCCAATGTAGAAAAGAGAAAGGTGAGGAATAATTTTCCCCAGGTTAATCATGAATTCAGGGAAACGTGAACTCGAAGAGTTTTGAGACTCAAGTCGAGAATGTTTCTCCATTTAACACACTGGCCCTGCCACAAATTTTATAGCTCTGAAAATTTAATTGCCATTATTAATATATACCAGCTTGGTATCCAGGCAGCAAACTGAGCAGCAACTATTCTGAGAGATATAATTAAATCATTCAAATAAGATGGAAGGAGCAGGCTCACGCTTCTCAGCGAAGTAATTCCTTTCTTTACCTTTGCAGGCCTTTTGCTGTAACTCCAAAATAGGTATCTAAGCAGCTTCCAAATACTGTGACCTCAAAAACTTCACGGGTGTCGGCTACCTCCAGCGAAAGTCGGTATCTGTAGTTTGCTTCTTTGGTGTCGCCCGAACAAGCACACTTCTGGCAATTGTATCTGACAAAAGAAAGACGATGAAGGGATTTAAATGTAGGGTCACATGAAAAGTCTCACTACTGTGGGAGGCCCAAGGCTAGTCTCGGACCTGCCACAACTTACCGTATTTTTCGGACTATAGGACGCACCTAAATTTAGAAGATGAAAACAACAAAAAAAAAGTTTTTGGCCTATCTTTTTTTGGGCCTTTTCCAGTCTTTTTTCGAACTGTTTCCAGGGCTTTTTTCAGTCCATTTTCGAGGCTTTTTTTGGCCCATTTTGGGGGCTTTTTTTGGCCCATTTTTTTGGCTCTTTGGGGCTCATTTTTGGGGCTTTTTTGGCCCGTTTTCAAGGCTTTTTGGAGCCCTTTTGGGGGCCCATTTTTGTGGCTTTTTGGCCCTTTTGAAGCTTTTTTGCCCCCTTTTTGAGGTTTTTTGCCCCCTTTTTGAGCCTTTTTGGCCCATTTTCAAGGCTTTTTTGAGGCCGTTTTCAAGGCTTTTTTTGGCCTGTTTTTTCTGAAAAAAACGTCCAAAAAAGCCCCAAAAACGGGCCAAAAAAGGCTGAAAAAAGGCCTCAAAACAGGGTGTGCAGAGGCAAAAAAAAAAAAAAAAAAAAAAAGGCTGGCGGGTGGGCGGGGCTTTGGCAATATTCGGTCTATAAGACACACAAACATTTTCGCCCCCTTTTGGGAGACAAAAAAGTACGCCTTATAGTCCGAAAATGGTAAGTCTCTGAACAGAAAGAACCTTGGTTCCATTTGTTGAGAAAGGTAGAGTTTATTAGAGGTTGAGTGTATCACAGTATTGATTCTGGGCAATTGTCATAAACAGGAACCAGGTGCCAGGGGTCTAAATTTTGATCGCATGACCATGGGAATGCTGTATAAGTGTGAATAATGGTCATAAGCCACTTTTTTTCAGTGCTGTTGTAACTTTGGTTGTTAAACAAATGACTGTATAAGTCAGAGGTGTCAATCTCAAGGCCCGGGGTCTGGATCTGGCCCGTGGATTGCTTAAATCTGGCCCACAGGGCCACCCTGGAAACAGCAAAGGACCGTCCCGCAGTGCCTCTGCCACCAAAAACGGAGCTTGGGAGGGCTGCATGGGGCCCTCCTGAGCTCCATTTTCGCTGGCAGAGGGTTGCAGGAGGCCATCACAGCCGAAACAGAGCTCAGGAGCCAGCTGTCAGAGTGCTCGGGCCATCACAGGCACCCCCAACCCAAGTGACTTTGAGGTAGCCCCACCCACCCTGGCCACGCCCACCCCAGCTCCCCAATGTCAAACTTTGATGCGGCCCTAATGTAATTGAGTTTGACATCTCTGGTATAAGTTGAGGACTACTTGTAATTCTTGAGAGGGAGCATACCGTTTGAATCGCAGGGATACTTTGGAAAAGCAACTGTGACATGATGGATACACAAAGCTGCTGTTCTGGATGGAAATCACAGAGGCAACCAGGAAGTGTCCGCCATTCATGTGCTTTCACAATGATCTATCGGGGGAGAAAAAAAATTCAGTTTTAGTTAACCCTGACTGTATGGAATTCTATAATGGAAATATTTCTTACCCTACAAACACATTACACTAAATGTCTACTTGTTGGAGGTTAGCTCACTGGGTGAATTTATCTCCTATAATATTGCATGCACCGTATATTATATGACTAAAAAAGCAGATAAATTTTTGCAAGTGTCTTGGAGCATACAATCTGGCAGTTTTGGGGGTGTTCCTTGGAACCCTGACACAATCCTACCTAATTGCACATCTTACTATGCAGTGTAGAATGAGCATTTAACACATCGTCTGAAAAACTGACATGGTGAGGACTGTCCCGGAGAAGAAATGGTGAAGTCAGCAAAGTCCAACAACTGTGACGGAATGAAGAGTCAGTTAGTACAGGTAGTCCTCGACTTATGACCACAATTGAGCCCAAAATTTCTGCTGCTAAGCAAGACGGTTAAGTGAATTTTGCCCTATTTTACAACCTTTCTTGCCAGAACTGTTAAGTGAATCACAACAGTAGTTAGTAACACGATTGTTAAGTAAATCTGGTTTTCCCATTGATTTTGCTTGTCACAAGATTGCAAATTGTGATACGATCATGCGACCGTCATAAATATGAGCCGGTTGCCAAGCGTCCAAATTTTGAGCACATGAGCACGGAGATGACGCAATGGTCGTAAGTGTGAAAAACAGTCATAAATCACTTTTTTCAGTGCTGTTGTTTAACTTTGAACTCTTGAACTGTTGTACACCGGCTCTTTGTAATTCCCCTCGGAGCAAGGAGAGGACATGAGATTGCTCTATCTATCTATCTATCTATCTATCTATCTATCTATCTATCTATCTATCTATCTATCTATCTATCTATTTATTGATTCAATTTATATGCCGCCCTTCTCTGGAGACTCAGGGTGGCTTACAATGCTTTTAAGCAATAGCCTTCATACTTTTGTATATACCTGCTTAGTATGGCTTTTGCCCCCCCCCCCCCCAAGCGGTGTGCTTTTTTTTTTATATACAAAGTCAGTTTACTGCCCCCACAATCCGGGTCCTCATTTTACCTACCTCGGAAGGATGGAAGACTGAGTCAACCTTGAGCCTGGTGAGATTTGAACTTGCAGTAATTGCAGGCACCTGGCAGCTAAGTGCTACTTTAACAGTACTTTAGTCCGCTGTGCCACTAAGGTGCAGATTACCCACAAGTGCTCCGGACAGTCCTTCCTTATGAGAAGATCGCAATGCAGGGGTCTCCAGTGGGTTTAGAGCTCTAGGACAAGGGGATAACCATCTTGTAGCTCAAACTGTGGTCAGATCAAAATCAGATGGGGAGTTTGGGTTGACAGTGTGAGCCTTACCTAATGGTTGTGAGAGAGACAGCAAGTAAGCCATATGGATCTCTTCCAGAATGCACCTCTAAAATGACATCAGTCCAGAAGTTCTTGTTCTAGTGAATGAGTCACTGGCCATAATCCAGGGAGTAACATAAGAGACTAGTCCTCAGCTCCCACCCAGGACAGGTCTGGGAACATTCACTTAAAGGAAGTTGAATTGCTCCACCAAATCAGGGTTGTACACCACCTGTCCTGGAAAAGACTATTTCTTGGGGATATGGGTTGGTCCTCGACTTACAACCATTCGTTTAGTGACCATTCGACATTACAATGACAAAAGTGAATTATGACCGTTTTTCAACACTTATGACCATTGCAACCGCGCTATGGTCACATGATCAAAAATCCAGCTGCTTGGCAACCACCTCAGATTTATGATGGTTGCAGTGTCCCACGGTCATGCGATCACTTTTTGCGACCTTCTGACAAGCAAAGTCAACGGGGAAGCCAGATTCACTTTACAACCGTGTTACTAACTTAACAACAGCAGCGATTCACTTAACAACTGTGGCAAGAAAGGTCATAGAACGAGGCAAGACTCGTAACTGTCTTGCTTAGCAAAGGAAACTTTGGGATGATTTCTGGTTGTAAGTCAAGAAGTACCTGTACTAAACAATAATGATAAACCCAGTCAACCTTGGCATTCTATTGGCGTTGCTCAGATCTGGAGTAAGTCTGTCTGTTTCCATTTATCTAGCTTACTCAGATAATGCACAAGAGAGTTTTGCACAATTGCCCATCAGAAAATAGCTCATCTCTGTTTTAATGTGCCACATATGCTACTCGAGTAAAAGCTGGTACATTTAGGCCTGCCTAGAAAATCTTCTGGTACAGAAGCATATTTTTGGATGGATTACTCTCTCCTCCTAATGGTGATCTAGTGTTCTACACTCCATTTGGACTAACTCTGAACCAAGAACTTTCTACACAGTCCGCATTCACTCATCCCCGCTTCCCCTGTCTTCGTGCAAAGGCTTGCTTGGAAGTCAAAGAGTTTCAGTCACTGCAGACTCCAATGCAAAGTAAGGTTGCCAAAGCTCTTCTGTCCTAGGAGCCCAGCTTCTTTTTGGAATGAACAGGGGGCCCTTTCTAAGAAGAAAGAACCTGTTGTTGTTCAGTCGCTAAGACATGTTCAGCTCTTTGTGATCCCATGGATGTCACCCCCCCCCCCCGTCCTCCTCTTGTCTCCCGGCATTTTCCCCAATTCCTCTTCATTGCGTTAACGACACTATCTAACTATCTTAACCTCTTTTTCTTTTTTCTTTCAAGGAAAGAACCTGGTTTAGCATTTAAAAATAATTCATCATGGAGCAGAATGGGTGAAACACATAAACTGCTTTAGCTATGAGTCTCCATTCCTGGAAGTTGAAGGGATACACAGCTGAATGCCTTAACAAACCATGCAGCCATGAACAACAGGTAGAGGTACTTCCACCAGGTGGAGACATACTGACAGATCAGGAGTACTTGGAGCTCAACCTCAACTGGTCTCCCAGCCATACATCAGTGTAATAAACCAGCATTGTTAAAGCAATACAGGTAGTCTTCAACTTACAGCTTCATTTAGTGACCATTTGAAGTTACAATGGCACTAAAAAAAGTGACTTACGACCATTTTTCAACCTTACGTCTGTTGCAGCATTCCCATGGTCACTTGATCAAAATTCAGATGCTTGGCAACCGACTCATATTTATGACGGTTGCAGTGTCCTGGGGTCATGTGATCACCTTTTGTGACCTTCTGACAAGCAAAGTCAATGGGAAAGACAGATTGACTTAACAACCATGTGACTAACTTAATAGCTGTAGTGATTCACTTAACAACTGTGGTAAGAAAGGTTAAAAAATGGGGCAAGACTCTCTTAACATCGATTTCTCTTAGCAATAGAAATGTTGGGCTCAATTATGGTCATTAAGTCGAGGACTACTTTTAATAGCATCAGAGACAACTCAGCCTAACCTGGCACGGTATGGTTCCCACATTGACCATCCACAATCAAGTGCAGTTTGTGGGCTATGTAGTTAATCCCATCAAACTGCCCATTCACATGTTCATTTCACTGTTTGTGACTATGTTACATTCACTCTGCTTGTGCAATGATATTCACCCTGTTAAAACCCAGGGGCTCTGGGAAAAAAACAAAATGAACCGATAGCTCACCAGAAATTGCCAGGTGGAGGAAAAATGTGTTCTACCCCTTTTTTCCTAGATAATGGGGGTGAGAGAAGCTGGCTCCAACATAGATGGAGAGCGTCAAGATGAAGACATCCAGTTTAAATCTGCCCACTGGAAGAGAAGAAGTCTGTTTTCCTGAAAGATAGGATTAGGATTAGGATTGAATAGAATAGAATAGAAAAAAAAAGAACAGAACAGAACAGAATTCTTTATTGGCCAAGTGTGATTGGACACACAAGGAATTTGTCTTTGGTGCATAAGCTTTTGGTGTACATAAAAGCTATAAGGGATAAATCATGATCCTAGCCATCATAAAAATACATTCATCATAAATCATAAGATACAACACTTACTGATAGAATCAACATAAATCGTACCAGGAATAAAACAATATAAATAGTAAAGATACAAGCAACAAAGTTATAGTCATAAGTAGAAAAGGAGATAGATAATAGGAAAGATGAGTAGAATAATAATACAGCCTTACTAAATAGTTTGATAGTTATAATGATGATGATATTTGTACGTTTGTATGTTAACACCTTGGACACCTAGAGAGCACACTGCTCAACATAGAAAGGAAATGTATGATATAAAATAATAAAAAATATTTAAAAAAATAGTTTGATAGTGTTGTGGGAATTAGTTGTTTAGCAGAGTGGCATGGAGAAAAAAACCTATCCTTGTGTCTAGTTGTTCTGGTGTGCAATGCCCTACTACAGCATCATTTTGAGGGTAGAACAGCAACAATTTAGCAACTATATTAATTTATTGAATTCTTTTTTGTTAGTTTTTACTGTTTTAAATGTGGTCTTATGTTCTGTAAACCACCTTGAATTGCCATAGGCTAATAGGCAGCAATATAAATTCAATAAATAAGTAAATAAATTTAACACTGGTTGCCTCGGAAATCTCAATTTTCCTGAAAGCAACCCTTATTCAGGTTCCCTCTCGAAACTGGAACCTGCACCCGTTGGATTTCCACCTGCCCCAAGTTTCCGCCCAGGTGTTCCCAAGACAGTGAGGCCTTTTTAGCCATGAGAAGGGCTGTTATTCAATAACCATAATAATAACCATAAGAACTGCAGAAAAAACAATTACTACCAACCTGCCTTCCATTGAGGACCTTATTATACTTATTATACATTATATTATACTGCACAAGTCAAAAAGAGGGCTGAGAAAATATTTAAGACCCCTTGCATCCTGGACATAAACTGTTTCAACTCCTATCCTCAAACAATGCTATAGAGCACTGCACACCAGAACAACTAGACACAAGGACAGTTTTTTCCCAAACGCCATCACCCTGCTAAACAAATAATTCCCTCAACACTGTCAAACTATTCACTAAGTCTGCACTACTATTAATCTTCTCATCGTTCCCACCACCCATCTCCTCCCACTTATGACTGTATGACTGTAACCTTGTTGCTGGTATCCTTACAATTTATATTGTTTCCTAATATGATTCGATTGCTTATTTGTTCCCTATGACTATCATTAAGAGTGTTGTACCTTATGATTCTTGACAAATGTATCTTTTCTTTTTATGTACACTGAGAGCTTATGCACCAAAGACAAATTCCTTGTGTGTCCAATCACACCTGGCCAACAAAGAATTCAATTCAATTCTATTCTATTCTATGATTCGATTGCTTATTTGTTCCCTATGACTATCATTAAGTGTTAAACCTTATGATTCTTGATGAATGTATCTTCTCTTTTTATGTACATTGAGAGCATATGCACCAAAGACAAATTCCTTGTGTGTCCAATCACACTTGGCCAATAAAGAATTCTATTCTATTCCATTTCTATTTCTGTTATTCCTACTCCATTCCTATTATTTCTATTATTCCTATTCCTAATCCATTTCTATTATTTCTATTATTATTCCTTTTCCATTTCTATTATTCCTATTCAAGTGCTGGCTGGGGAAGATGGGAAGCATAGTGCGCCCTGCAGAAGTCTGAAAGACTCTAGACCAGGTGTGGCTGGTGTGAATTTATACCCCGCCTTTTTATACAAAGGATCAAGGCAGCCTGCATAATATTCCCTCCTCCTCCTTTTAAGACAACAACAACCACCCTGTGAGGTAGGCCGGGCTGAATGGGACTGGCCCAAAGTCTCCGAGGGAGTTTCCATCGCTGAGGAGGAACTTCAACCCGGGTCTTCCTAGTCCAATTTTTTAAAAAAAAGTTGTGGAGAATAATAATAATAATGAGGTAAATGTGGCGACTATTCACCCATCGCTGCGCCTGAAGAGTCGTAACACACCTTCCAACAGGTAGACTGCTTCTTCCGGAAGCGGTCTCGAGGTTCAGGACGGAAGTGACGACAAACACTTTCTTTTTTTCTCCCACGCGCCAATCAGCGAAGAGCTCGGAGGGAGAGCTGCTCAAAACGCCCGCCCCCCCTTTTTTTCCCGCCTCAACTCAACCTTTTTTTCCCAGCTCCGCCCATTCCCCCGTCTCTAGCCAATCGGAGGGCTTCGCTGTTTCTACCTGCCGTGGCAACCACGAAGCAGTGTGTGTGTGGGGGGGGAGAGTATAAAAGGCACAGCCTACGCTTTCGCCTCAGGACGTAACCAATCGCAGAAAGCCTCCGAACGGCTTACCTGCCTTTCTGTCTCTCCTCCCACCGCCTTCTCTCTCTCGCCGCGACAGCGAATCATCGAGTGGAGGGGCGTGGCTTCTTTTCGAGAAGAGCCGCTCATTTGTCCGTCTCGGGATGTGGGAGGAGTCAGAGGGCTTTTTTTTCGGTCCCGCCTCCTTCCCGAAACCCGGGTATAAAAAGGAGAGGAAACCGCGGCAGACTTGATTTCGGTCGGTTGCTTTGCGGCTATGCGGGTGTTTGCGGGGCTGTGGGGCGGGTGGCTCTTCTGCCTCGCCTGGGTCGGCGATTTCGGGCGTGCCTGGAGTATTTTCGGCCATCCTCACCTCTACGCGGCCTCCCGTCCCGATTCCTCCCGGCTTTTGGGGCTTCGCGCTTACCGCACTTGCTATATAGCCCAGAAGGTAAGGGAGAAAGTGCCGGGCGGCTTCCTCTCAAAGCCCCTTCCTTCGCCAAACATCCTATATTTCTTCCCTCAACCCCTCTTCCTTCCCGTTCCCCTTTTGAATCATGCCTATATATATATGTGTGTGTGTATATATATATATGTGTGTGTGTGTGTGTGTACAGTTAATATTAACTGAAAACTTACATAGACAAATATCTATATATATATCTATATCCAGTGGCGGAGAGTTCCGCAGGTTCGCACTCATTTATTGCCTGGAAAAGGGACAAGATTTGCAGCCAGAGCTCTGCAGCAAAAGAGAAGCCAGCAAAAGCAAATCAACCCATGGAACAGAAGCTGCCTTCAGAAGTTGTGGGAGCTTCATCACTGGAAGCTTTCAAGAAGAGATTGGATTGCCATCTGTCAGAAACGGTCTCCTGCTTGGGCAGGGGGTTGGACTAGATGACCTACAAGGTCCCTTCCACCTCTTAATTTAATCTAATCTAAATTGTGGGAGCTTCATCACTGGAGGCTTTCAAGAAGAGACTGGACTGCCATCTGTCAGAAACCGTGTACGGTCTCCTGCTTGGGCAGGGGGTTGGACTAGATGACCTACAAGGTCTCTTCCACCTCTTAATTTAATCTAATCTAAATTGTGGGAGCTTCATCACTGGAGGCTTTCAAGAAGAGACTGGACTGCCATCTGTCAGAAATGGTGTAGGATCTCCTGCTTGAGCGAGGGGTTGGACTAGATGACCTACAAGGTCCCTTCCACCTCTTTTAATTTAAGTTGTGGGAGCTCCATCACTGGAAGCTTTCAAGAAGAGATTGGATTGCCATCTGTCAGAAACGGTCTCCTGCTTGGGCAGGGGGTTGGACTAGATGACCTACAAGGTCCCTTCCACCTCTTAATTTAATCTAATCTAAATTGTGGGAGCTTCATCACTGGAGGCTTTCAAGAAGAGACTGGACTGCCATCTGTCAGAAATGGTGTAGGGTCTCCTGCTTGGGCAGGGGGTTGGACTAGATGACCTACAAGGTCCCTTCCAACTCTGTTAGTCTGAATCTGAAAAGTGGACCGGCAAGCAAAAGCCAGTAAAAAGTGATCTGAGTTTTAATGCCGTGATAACTTTAACCATGGTTTGCTGGATTCCTAGCACATCCTCAGTCCTACAGAGTTTAGCGTGTCTGACCCATCAGTACGCCGCTGGGACTACAATGCACTTGACTCTGAGGTTGTGGGAAGACGGCACAGGAGAATTTGCTGCAGGATGGAGGCATCCTAAATCAGGGTTTCTAAAACCTTGGCCATTTATAAGTTGTGTGGACTTCCAACTTCCAGTATTCTCCAATTCAGTGTGCAGACGGTGTACCGGCTGGGAAATTCTGGGAGTTGAAGTCCACACCTCTCCCAAATTGTTGAGAAATGTTGGATTAATGTATCTTGTCAGCCTGAATCAGGGTTTGTTCAGCAAATCATTGGCTTAGCCTGCCTGAAGATTGTCGTCATCTTGGACTAGGATGTCTGTGTTGAAAGGAACAGGGTTTGAGGAAGAGAACAATGGATTTTGGGAGAAAGTTTGCAAGACTCTGGGAACAATATTGCAAATAAGAGATGGTTTTAGGATGGCAGTCTGTGTATTGATTATTCTGACTTGAATGCTTTTTTGATGTCTGTTAGTCTAAGGTGTGAAAAGTTTGATGCTGAACATCAGATTAATCAATGAAACAAGCAACTATCATTAGATAGAGATAGTCCTTGACTTACAACTGCAATTGAGCCCAAAATTTCTGTTGCTAACCATGACAGTTAAGCGAGTTTTGCCTCACTTTGACCTTTACTTGCCACAGTTGTTGAGTGAGTCACTGCAATTGTTTTGTTAGTCACACGGTTATTAAGTGAATTTGGCTTCCCCATTGACTTTGCTTGTCAGAAGGTCGCAGAAGGGGATCCCATGACCCCGGGACACTGAAACCGTCATAAATATGAGTCGTTTGCCAAACGTCTGCATTTGGGTCACGTGACCATGGGGATGCTGCAACAGTTGTAAGTGTGAAAAATGGTGATAAGTCTTTTTTTTTTAGTGGCATTGAATGGTCACTGAATAGTTGTCAGCAGGGTGGATAAAAATAAATGATTTTTTTAAAAAAAAAAAAAAAAATCAGATTTTTTTGATTTAAATCGGATTTTTTTTATTTTTATCGAATTTCTTTTAATAAAAAACTTTTGGGGTAAAAATCTATCGTAAGATAGTTTTCTATTTAAGATACATAAATAATTTAGTTTATTCAGCATGAAATGGAGCTTAGTTATGTAGCATGAGGCTGTATATTCTGCAACACTGGGACTATCGGTGAGTCAACAGCGGGTCAAAGGAGTAGCAGAGATGACAGTTGCTCTTTAAAAATTATGATTTAAATCGAGTTGATTTAAATCAAGCCTTTTTACTAGTGATTTAAATCATGATTTAAATTGTGATTTAAATCAACTCGATTTAAATCAAATCCACCCTGGTAGACGGGTGCCTGCAAAAATAAATGGGTAGACCGGTGCCTGCAAAAATAAATGGGTAGACCGGTGCCTGCAAAAATAAATGGGTAGACCGGTACAGCCTGGTAGACCAGTACCTCTGCTAAATCCTAAATAATTGTCACATGACCATCAAGCCACGCCCATAAAATAAGCCACACCCACAAAATAAGCCACACCCACAGAACCGGTAGTAAAAAAAATTAGAACCCGCCCCTGGCTGTCAGATCTGTAATTGGCTGAATATGCCGACTTTAAGGAGTGATTTTGAGAGTTTGCTGAAGATGGGATTGTCAATTCAACTTCTATGCAGGTTATATAATGGGAAGTGTAGTTATCATCTTAAACCTGCAAAGGCAGTTAACGTAAGCTCTGATCTTGCTTCCTGGAAGTCTTTAAATTCGGCTCAGTTGTACTGGTGCTTTCAAGAAGAGACTGGACTGCCATCTGTCAAAAATGGTGTCGGGCCGTGATGGCGGATCTATGGCAGGCGTGCCACAGGTGGCATGTGGAGCCATATTGGTGGGCACGCGAGCGTTGCCCTATTGCCCTAGCTCAGCTCCAGCACGCATGCGCATGCTGGCCAGCTGGTTTTTGGGCTTTCTGGGCCCACCGGAAGTGGGCAAATGGGCTGTTTCCGGCTTCCGGAAGAGTGGGAAGGCTGTTTTCGCCCTCCCCAGTCTCCTAGAAAGTCTCTACAGCCTGGGGAGGGCAAAAAACAGGCCTACCAGGCCATCACATGCCAAAAGCGGATGAAGCATGGGGGGGGGTCGCCCACGCCTGCATGTGGGGGGGTGCAGGGCGCATAGAATTATGGGCGTGGGCACGCGCGCACGACCATCTCACACTCCCCCAGCTTTTGGCACGCGATGGCAAAAAGGTTAGCCATCACTGGTGTAGGGTCTCCTACATGGGCGGGGGATTGGACTAGATGACCTACAAGGTCCCTTCCAAACTCTGCTATTCTGTCCTGTTCCATTTCTCCTCCAAACATGGCAGTGTGACATTCATTGTTCAGTTAAGTTAAATGGCAGTTTGTGCTTTCCTAATCGGTCTGTTAAGCAAGCAGGTGAAGAGGCAAATATTGCGAATCTTGTAACAGGTGAATTTGCATCCTGTTCAACTTGGGACATCCCAAGCTAACATAAACATAAGGATTGGATCACAGTTAAGTGTGGAAACTTTCTGCAAATTTACACAGTATGCCAATCTTCCCACAGATTCCTTTTTTAAAAAAGAGTTTTTTTAGTGTAGTGTAGAACAGCTCTCCCCAACCTTTGTGGCTTGGGGGTGGGGAGGGGGGAAAGAGGGGAATCGGGCCGCACGAGTAGCAAGTCAGTGTACACGCGCATGTGCAAGCAGCTTGATTTGTGCAAATTGAGCTGCGCGCAGGTGTGCATGCACACCAGCTCACCACTCATGTGGGCCGGTTCCAAATAGGCCACAGCCCGAAATTGGGCCGCAGCAGGGGTGAAATGTAAAATTTGTTACTACCGGTTGTGTGGGCGTGGCTTGGGGTGTAATGTGACTGGGTGGGCGTGGCCAACGTTTTTTTAACTTTTCAAAGCATTTTTTCTAATGCTTTGAAAAGCCTCTGCCGATCAGGCAACTCAGCTGGGATCGGCAGAGACTTTTCAAAGCATTTTTTTTTACCACCTCTTCGGCCAAGAGGTTGCAGAAAAAAATGCTTTGAAAAGCCTCTGACGATCCCAGCTGAGCTGCGCGATCATCAGAGGCTTTTTTTTCTTTTTACTTTTACAAGCATTTTTTCGTCGGAAGAGGTTGTAGAAAAAATGCTTTTAAAAGTAAAAAAAAAAAGCCTCTGATGATCGCGTGGCTCAGCTGGGCATGGTGAGGGGGGGGCGCAGGGATTTTTGCTACCGGTTTTCCGAACCACCCGCCGCCATTGCTACCGGATCAGGTGATCCGGGAGCATTTCACCCCTGAGCCGCAGCCACTGTGGTTGGGGACCCTTGTTTTTAAAAAATACTTTGAAAAATTAGGAAAAGCAAGGAGACGTTTCTTTTGCTAGATGGGTGAATATAAACCTAGTTACATCTACCCATCCCCTTGGGTAGAAAGCTGAACAGCTGAACCACTAGAAGACTCAATGAAATATAAATATATGAATATCGGATACTAAAGAAGATGATGTTGCACCTCTATGCATAAACATATATCATAATCCCTTGCGGGGTGGAGTCTGGGCAACTGAATGGAGCTAGCAGAGTGTTTACTGGCCAGATGCCCTTCCTGTCACCGGTGTGGAGTTTTGTTCAGCAGATATATTCTCTGTGTGCCCAGAGAGAGAGAAATGTCTGCCTCTACCTAGGATTGAACTCGCAGCCTCCTGATTGTGAGACGAGAGCTCCACCTCTAGGCCATCGCACCAATCCTATGCATAAACATAAACGCACACATCAAAAGAAATGCACATTGGGACTCTTTCGTTGTTTGAGAATTTCTGCACCTTGGCATTGCAGAGG